AGTTTTCTAACTAATAAATTACAAGCTCGGGCTTGTCAGTCCGTCTGTGTGCCGTTTTAGCAAAACTAGCGTCCGACTGACTCCGACGACATGAGGCATCTCATTCAATTTAATTTTAAACTGGCCAGTCAAAGGTTAAGCCTTTTACGACTTTCAATATGGCGCCGGTCGATGCGACGATGTCTGCTCTCGGTCGATCACGATTAACTATCGCGAGGCAAAGAGCAGCACCCAGACACGGTCTCGCCTCCACACCTGACATTTTATTATTTGGGTCTTCTTTTCACGTTCTAGACTGATTCACTTTCCTCCTCCTTGACCCTGAAATTATTTCTTCTATACATCCAACTTTGTGCTTCATCACGTCTGATGCTCGATCATGTTGCGTATATTTCCACTTTCGTCACATCTTCAGCCGATTTCTTAACAAACTTCAATATGTGCCTCTAAATTTAACCCGAGGCAGGTTTTGCCATACTTTATCAAAACAAAAAGGCCTTAAACTTTCTTTTCTCTTTATGTGCCATGTCCTTTCAGGTCGTTGGCGATCATGGCTCTCCACCTCCCTCTATCCCTTGCAGCTCTCAACAAGTCCCTTCCCTCTGTATCCTCCCTCAGACCATGTTCTGTCATCCACTTCCTTAAGTCCGCCAGGTATGTCACGCATTGTTTTTCCTTGTCTCTTTTTTCCACTATTCGACCCGTGAGTATCAAATTCTCCAGGCCCTCCTTCCTTGTTATATGTCCCAGAAACTTCAGCTATTGAACCACAATTCTGATACCCCAAGGAATAAACTGTCCAGCATTCATTGCTATATTGGTGTATTGATATTACACAGCATCCCTCTATTGACCCTTCTTTTTTATGTGCCATGTCCTTTTAGGACGTAGGCGATCATGGCTCTCCACCTCCCTCTATCCCTTGCTGCTCTCAACAAGTTACTTCCGTCTGCTTCCACGTTCTGTCATCCACGTCCGCCAGATGTCATGCATTGTTTTCCCTTGTCTCTCTTTCCCACTATTCGACCTATGCGTATCAGATTCTCCAGGCCCTCCTTCCTCATTATATGTTCCAGAGACTTCATCTGTTTCTTCCTGATATTAAGTATAAGCCTCCTCCTTGTTTGCTCACACGTTCGGTCCATGATATCCTTAGCATCCTTCTGTAGAACCACATCTCTGTCGCCAAGAGTTTCTTCATCTTTGAGGAAATCGCCCAACATTCGCTGCCGTAAAGAAGAACAGATGTCCCGGAACAGCTCAGTATTCTTTTCTTTGTTACCAAAGAAATCCTCCTGTCTCGCAATACTCTGCCTAGCTTTTGGAATGTGTCCTTGGCCATCCCAATACGTCGACGGATCTCAGTGTCGCACTTATCGTCCTCTGTCAAAACGATTCCCAGATATTTATACTTCTCCGTCTGCTTGATTCTAGTGTTCCCGACCTGTAAATCGCATAGAAATCCCAAAGTAACTGATACTTCCCCCTTTCCGACAGTGGAAAGATCCAGGGAGGGATGAGAAAAAAGAAGCTGGTTGGTGGGTAGTCAGAAAAAAAATGAGGTAGGGGCGCGGCAGAAAAAAAAAAAAAACAAACTAGTAATAAGCAAGGTGATATTAAAACCTTGTAATAAATCTGTACCTTTTAAACAATATCTAAATAATAAAAGCAATTTGATTCAATTAAGCAAAAGATATGTTTTACAAAAAGTAATATCAACATTAATATTACACTAGAATCCCTGACAACCGGACTAAGAAGACCTTCCGGATATGAGGGATTGGTTACAAAGTCCGGATATGAGGGATTCCGGATATGAGGGATTCCGGATATGAGGAATTGGTTACAAAGTCCGGATATGAGGAGTTATGTTTAGATTAAATTAAAAAGAACTGAAATCAGGTTTAACATTTATTTTCAATGTTTTATAGTAAACAAAATAAACTAATAGTGAGTTAAATATAACGGAATTGGTTTTAAGGAAAAAGAAATAAATTATGTAATGTTAATGAAAATTCATTAGATTAATTATACCACGTATGCAAAACAAATAATGTAACGAGGATTTTTCAATAGCAGTTGCATGATGATTCTTTCTACTGTAATGCCATTCTCAACTTTTTCCAAATTTTGTTTTGCTTTTGTTCTAGAAATTTTTAAAACGAAAGACAATTTTAACTCTGCGTGTGTTATTGCAATCGTCATAGATGAATGCTGGCATTTTTCTGTTGTAACCTAGAAAGGGTTACTGTTGAGCAGTTCTCCCCTTTTTACACAAATGGACTCACCCAGTATATATATATATATATATATATATATATATATATATATATATATATATATATATACTGCTACGTGAAGAAAAAGAGAGACAGGACAACAGGAGGAGGAGGAATGAAAGGTTGTAGGTAACTGGAAGAGAGTAAAGTAACAGACAGACAGAACGGACGTAGCCAGCAAGAGTCACAGTGAGCGAGCACGTAGACTCAGTAAGAAGTCATACTGTATAGATATTTTGGCTACTAACCCGTATTCCTGGAACTACTAACCTGCATTACCAGTTTGTATTATTACGTTAATACATTATTTTCCTATATTCATTCTCGGCGTTTGTTATTTATTGGTACCGGATTTCATTCCGGAATCCACAATAGTTACTGAATAAGAATAACCAAAACGAAGGTTGGAAATGGAACGATAATATTTATAACAAGAACAACATACAAGATTTGTCAGCGGTATATAGTAAGTAATCAACTGCTAGAAGTGAATTAAGGTGAATCCCAGTGAGTCCAAATGACTACCACATACATTATATTCTACTGTATTTATATGGATTGGGATATACCCATAATAGTCAATAGGTACGGTATAACACTTTCCATAAAACTGACAGCCTTTTCAATAGCTTTTTTTTTTAATTTCAGTCCAGGTTTCCTCACAATCATGCATTTCGTCGCTATCTTATTGCAGATGTGTCTCGCTGTCATCCTTTCCTCTTATTCCCATCATCTTTTGCAGTAATACAAGCCATTAGGGTGAAATAAGCATAAGCAATTATCCAAAGTAAATTTCCTGAAAATCTGAAATTTCAAATCACATATATATCACCCAAATAATTCACATATACACATCAACATCATGTCCGAGTATGTGAGATTCCGGATAGGAGGCACTTCGTATATGAGGGATTTCGGATATAAGGCAATCCGGATATAAGAGATTCCGGATATGAGGCACTTCGTATATGAAGGATTCTAATACTGAAGTGGGTTTTGAATGATGTTCTGAATAGTTGTAATGAAGAGAAAGTAAAATTAAGGTGAAGGAAATACGAGTCAAAAATGAATAATGTTTTCTAAATTTATAATTATTGTAATACACAGAAATTGAAATGTTAATTAAATTAACAACATTTCACACACACACACACACACATATATATATATGAATTGTGGTATATATATATATATATATATATATATATATGAATTGTGGTTAATTTAATTAAGATTTCAATTTATGTGAAATTAAATTATATATATATATATATGTGTGTGTGTGTGTGTGTGTGTGTGTGTGTATAAATATAAAAGTGAACATTGAAGTCAATACTTAGAGGCGACAGGCTTTTTCATGCTAGACGCAATCATCAGGCCACGATTGCGTCTAGCATGAAACAGTCTGTCGCCTGTTAGTGTTGACTTCAGTGTTCACTTTTATATTTACACACGCTCTATCTCTGATATTGAGCACTTTATCCCATAAATATAGCACACCTTAAGACTATATTTTCTTATATATATATATATATATATATATATATATATATATAAATGGAAGAGAGCTTTTTAACCTTTAACACATTGCATTATTCACTACTTTCCTTTCCACTGCATTGTTTTTCAAGGTTTCTCTACTGCACTACTTAATTTCAGTCATGATCATTCTCTGTTGCCATAGCAGGATATGACAACACAACTGTGAAATTCAAACATGCTATCATTCATTCATCTGAGTCACTTGCAGTGAAAAGATAAAATTTTTGCTTTACAAACAAAATCACCTCCCGAATGATAAAGGTTAATCTTGGGATACCCAGCTGTTACCAACTCCTGGGTGGTGTAAAGAGCCTGGGCATTGAGGGGAAAAAGGTCGAATAGGGGGGCGACAAGGTGGGATTAGACGCAAGTATTTTTTTTTTATTTTTTGTTTTTACATAATTTAATAGATGTCATACAAAGAATAAAATTAACCTACGTCATTTACAAAGGTTTGGTTTTATTTTTTACCTCTAATAAAATGTCCTGAGCATTTGTTTTATCTTGCTGACGTTACGTGGACAGGGCTCGCCACAGGCTAACCATATCAGACAGCTGATGTCAGCAGTGACTAATGTTATAGTACGGATATAGCCACGGATGTGTGTCTGGTGTTAGATTAGCTAATTTCAAGTTGCAGTATACCTAATACCAAGAAAGAAGCATCTACATATGCGAAATTCCGTGCGAATTGTCGATTCCATTTTCCACGATGCTTATATCTACTTCACGCTTAGAAAGGCGTACACAAAACCGAGCGGAACGAGTCCGTTGCCGCACGCAGTTTCGGGCGGAACGACGCATAAATGGCAGCATAGGACGGAACGGCGCACCAAGGGGAGTATCGGACGGAACGACGCGCCAAGGGGAGTATCGGACGGAACGATGCATCAAAGGGGTATCGGACGGAACGATGCACCAAAGGGAGTATCGGACGGAACGACGCGCCAAGGGGAGTATCGACGGAACGATGCACCAAGGGGAGTATCGGACGGAACGACGCACCAAGGGGGAGTATAAGGCGGGACGATGCACCAAGGGGAGTATCAGGCGGAACGACGCGCCAAGGGGAGCATCAGACGGAACAATGCACCAAGGGGAGTATCGGACGGAACGACGCGCCAAGGGGAGTATCGGACGGAACGATGCACCAAGGGGAGTATCGGACGGAACGATGCATCAAAGGGAGTATCGGACGGAACGATGCACCAAAGGGAGTATCGGACGGAACGACGCGCCAAGGGGAGTATCGGACGAAACGATGCACCAAAGGGAGTATCGGACGGAACGACGCACCAAGGGGAGTATAAGGCGGAACGATGCACCAAGGGGAGTATCAGGCGGAACGATGCACCAAGGGGAGTATCGGACGGAACGACGCACTAAGTGGATAATCGATTGGAACGACTTACTAAGGACAGTATCAGACGGAACGACGCGCTAAAAGTAATATCAGACGAAACGACTCTCTAAGGGCAGTATAAGACGGAACGATGCATTAAAGGCAATACCGGACGGAACGACGCACTAAAGGTAGTATCGGACAGAACCACGATCTAAGTGCAATATTAAACGGAACCACGCACTGAGGGCAATATCAGACGAAACGACGCACTAAGGTCAGTAGCTGTATCAGATGGAACGACGCTCTAAGGGCGATATCAGACGCCGTATATAGTGTAAATTATCTTCAAGAAAAAAGTTTTTTAAATCTTGTGATTCTCTCGCAAACTACGGAATTAAAAAAAATTATTATAAAGGAATCGAAGAGCTATAAACTTCTCTTCACTTACAAGAAAAAAATAAATGTATAATGAAAAACTTAAAAATAACCTATCAAAAATGTGGAAAAAATACGAATTTTCTATGAAGAAGCTAGCAACGTATAATTTATCGTCTGTCAGGAATTATTTAACTTATCAGAGCTCGGAAAATTGAAGAGTAACGAAGGATGTAAAGAATATGCACAATAAATGTAGCTTCTATTATAAATGTTAGCATCGCATAATCAATCGTCTGCCATAAAGTCCGTTCACGATATGAATAAAAGACTAATAAAGACGACATGTTCTGACCTCAAACATTAATTATGCTTTTGCGGAAGCAATATAGTCATGTTGATTTGAAATCATAATAAAAGCCAAACAACGATCGTGAGATAAGTCAAAAGATTTCGCGGCGAAGAAACGTCTTTGTTCGTTTTTGTAAAAGCGGGAACACGAATGTCTGACCAAAAACGATCGCTTGTTTCATCTGTGTTAACGATTCGATTAATCTCGTATGGCGATAAAACATTTACAGGTTAATACATTCCATGATTCTGAGATTAAGTCAAAGTATAGAAACTTTATATGTATTCAGCATATTCTAAAGCGTTCGATTATCTGCAAGTGTATTGACCACCACGTAATGCACCCAATTTTTTAGTTGTTTAAAACTGCCATGAGACGTCTATATGAAGCTTGAGGCAGAATTGACATTGCCTCTAAAACATGTGTGTCTCATAATTTCAATTCCTGTGCTGGGCAGTGTGTGCTTGGACGCGATGGAAACGAGGCAACCAATAACTGAAGCGTACTAAATATGAATTATACGAGATATCCATGCACATAGTCATAACAACTTCTTACCTTCTTTTTCTTTATTCATTCAACAATATTTTGAATAATTCAAAAATTCGCAAAAATTAAAACAAAAGTTCACACTGTAATTTATCTATGTACGACATTAGATTAAGTGTCGTAACACAAAATTCATGGGCTGGACAGAGTGTGCGGACGCAGTGGAAACGCGGTGAGCAAAAACTGAGGCGTACTATATATAAACTATCAGGTCATCCCATAAGTTTTGTCCGAATTTTAACTTTTTGTTAAAATGAACGAAATTTAAAGAGTATTTTATAATGTCTAATGGAGCTGAACATTATTTTTATGTTTAGATGCATTTAAACTGATCAAATTTTATTTCAGAGAACAATAAAAATTAAATTTTGTTTGATTAAATCCCAGCTAATATGGAAGTACCCAAGAATCATTTGACGCACATAATGTTTTATGATTTCAAGAAAGGAAACTCAGCAGCCGAAGCGGCTAGAAACATTCACTCAGTTTATGGAGAGGAATGTGTGAATGAAAGAACTTGCAGAAGATGGTTTGCAAAATTCAGAGGGGGAGATTTCACCCTTGAATATGAAGATCGAACTGGACGTCCAGTTGAGTTTGATGAAAAGCTTCTTGAAGCAGCCCTTGAAGAAAATCCTGCTTTATCAGTTGAGGAATTGGCAGTGGTTCTCAGTTAAAACCATACAACTGTTCATTGTTATCTTCAACAACTTGGAAAAGTTCCTAAACTTGGAAAGTGGGTGTCTCATGAATTGTCTGAAAACAACCTTAAATCCCGAGTTGACATCTGCTCTTCTTTCCATTCTCGCCAACTTGTTTCACCTTTTTTGGATAGACTTGTGACTGGCGACGAAAAATGAATCTTTTATCGAAATGTTAAGCGTCGTAGACAGTGGCTTGGTAAAGGGGAAGGACCCCAGCCACAGCCGAGAAGGAAACATCATAGACAAAAGGTTCTTCTTTCAATCTGGTGGGATCGCCAAGGAATAATCCACTTTGAATTCTTACCACCTAATGCAACAATTAATGCTCAAATATACTGTCAGCAATTAGAGCGTTTGAACCAAGCTTTGAGGAAAAAAAGACCTGCTCTAGTGAATCGAAAAGAGGTGATGTTTCATCAGGACAATGCGCGACCCAACACAGCAAGAATCACATCACAAAAGATCGAAGAACTTGGTTGGGAGAAAATTCTTCATCCAGCTTATTCTCCCGATCTTGCTCCTTCAGACTACCATTTGTTTCGTAGCTTATAGAATCATTTGGAAGAAACAGCTTTTGTAACACAGGAAAAGGTTAAAACTGACATTTGTGAGTTCTTCAAATCAAAGCCAAAATAATTTTACAGTAATGGAATTAGTAAGCTTGTTAATAGATGGATGGACGTCATAGATAATCAGGGAAAATACATTGTTGATTGATTCTGTAATTAAATGTAACATTTAGTCACTTGTTTTCTTTATTCAAAATTCGGAAAGAACTTATGGGATGACCTGATATACGGTATATCGTTGCACATAGTCAGCAGAATGAGAACAACCTACCACCGTAAAGTGTTAATTTTGAAAATTACTGAAGGTTATCCTGATCGAAAAACACCTGATGAATACCGGAGTGCACAACGGTCGTAACATTGTGATAACAACAACAAGGGTGAGGATAACAGGCCATGAGTAAACAGTGTAAGTTGTCAATATGCATCAGGCGTCATACGCCATAACGGGTGATTTGCTACACTGAATTAACTTTACTTTTGATAACGAGGTTTCAGCAGATACGTTTATCGATCTTCTTCGGCCGGCTGTCATTATGTGATGGTAATCTTAACCCTTTTCTTTTGACTTTATTTCTTTCAATTTCTATCTGGATTTCTGGGATGAGGATTATCGTTTCAGTTATTTATTTTCGGATCAACATCTTCACTTTGGCGGTAATCCCATCTTTTTTTGCGCTTCATCAGAACTTCATCAGGAGTATGTTTATCCGAGTAGGATTTCGAGCTAAACACTTTATTTAATCAACGGTGTGAGGGGCATAGATTGTTTTCGTTACGCTGTCGATGTCTACGAATATCTCATCTTGTTCCTATTTACAACTGCTCAATTATTAATAAACTTGAGTATAAAACCTGGCTGGTGGCAAAGAGTCTAATAAATGTAAAGCTCTCTATTCAAAACCAAGGTGACGACAGTAGGTAGTCTTATCACCATTTTCCAATGAAATCATGTCACCTTGCAGGTTAGAAAGAAAATCTGTGGAGAAACATGATCGCCTATTTCTTGTGTATGGTGAATCTTATATGGGTCCTTGTTGAAGGCTCCTCCCCTTTATACACAAATGGACTCACCCAGTATATACATATACTACTGCTACGTGAAGACAAGGGAGAGACAGGACAACAGGAGGAGGAGTGAAAGGTTGTAGGTAACCGGAAGAGTGAGAGTAAAGTAACAGACAAGTCAGAACGAACGTAGCGAGCAAGAAGCTCTGTGAGCGAGCACGTAGACTCAGTAAGAAGTCATACAGCGATACTTCAATACCAAAGACTGTATATATATTTTGCTACTAACCCGTATTCCTGGAACTACTAACCTGCATTACCAGTTTGTATTATTACGTTTAATACATTATTTTCCTATATTCATTCTTGGCATTTGTTAGTACCGGATTTCATCCCGGAAGCCACAACAGTCCTATAGCCTTGTTTGGCAACAAGTCTACTGCAGTAAATAACGAATTCTTCTGCCAAGTCAGTCATGAATCAGAAAGAGACATGATGTTTCAAGCATATACCTCGCCTAGCACACAAGGATGGATTTGATAACAACTTCTTACCTTCTTTTTCTTTATTCATTCAACAATATTTTGAATAATTCAAAAATTCGCAAAAATTAAAACAAAAGTTCACACTGTAATTTCTCTATGTACGACATTAGATTAAGTGTCGTAACACAAAATTCATGGGCTGGACAGAGTGTGTTTGGACACAGTGGAAACGCGGCGAGCAATAACTGAGACGTACTAAATATGAACTATACGGTATATCCTTGCACATAGTCAACAGAATGAGAACAACCTACCTCCGTAAATTAAATAAAGTGTTAATTTTGAAAATTACTGAAGGTTAACCTGATCAACAAACACCTGATGAATACCGGTGGGCGCAGCGGTCGTAACATTGTGATAACAACAAGGGTGAGGATAATAGGCCATGAGTAAACAGTATAAGTTATCAATATAGATCAGGCCCCATATGTTATTTCTATGGTTGAAATGCATATAAAATTACAATTTAACGTTCAATATTTTTCAACCAATCCCTTTTGCTCTTGGAGGTCTCGTTTCTGAGTCATCTGCAGCAGACGGAAGCAACCTTTTCATCAGTGGAAATCAAACTGGGAAAGTAGAATACAGCATCGGCATTAAGGTCCTCCCCAGAGAATCTACACTTCAAGTCTTTCTGCCGACAAAGAAAATGTTATATCAAGCTTTCACACTGCGATTAATTTCTTATTACTGTCATGATGGCTGTTGACTTGTATTACCATTGCTGACAAGTTAAATCTATGTTTACGTTTTTGAATTCCTTCTCCTAGACTAGTTCCCTACTAGAGAATGCAGTTTAGCTTACTATTTAACCCATAGCTGCGGTGAGAAAGGATGGGCCCATGAATTGCATTTAAATTATTGCAGATAAAAGTTAGCTGGAAAGCATAGAGCCGTAAGGGATTTCCACAAGCGAGAAGTGCGAGAAAAGAAACTATTAGCATAGAATTTACGGCTTCATCTAGCCAGATCAACTGTAAATCAATAAAATCT